TGGCCATGTCAACAGCTGGGTTTGTCCCAACGCAAAAGAGAACTTGGCTCACTTCTGTTACTGGAGTTTTTTCTTTTGTTTTGTTGGTTTTTAACCCCTCCTGGAATATAAAGCTGTCTTCTTCCTTCCGTAAGAAACCCCAAGTAAGCTGCTGGTAACTGCACCTTTCCTACCCATCCATGGCTCATGATTTTAACCCTGGGACAGCCTGGAGGAGACATTAGCGTTGCTGGCAACAGGACCCAAGCAGTTGGCATTGTTTAGCTAGGACTGAGAGTGGAAGAACAAGGACTAGGAGGTCATCCTGTGGAATTTGCTGTGGGACTGAGCCCTGCCAGGCAGCTGTGTGCTGAGAGGAGCTTTGTGGAGTCAGCTGCCCGTGCAGATGGAGGAACAAGGCGGGCGTTCGTTTTTATTTTGTTCTCACTTGGTCCATTTTCTCCTCCTTCATCGCAGTTGTACTCTGAACACCCACCCCACGCACCCTGTCACCGTGGTTCGTTCTTTCTGAGCCTTTGAGATGTACATAGCGGTGTCCGTGGGTCAGTGGTCAGAGACGGGGTTTGGCATGTGACAGTTCTCTGTCACCTTGAGGGCAGTGGAGGGACAAGTGGACCGTGTCAGTTATGTGGAGGGGATTGTGGGGCAGCTGCTGAAGGGTGCTTGTGAGGGTGTGTGCTTGCTGATACCCTGGCAACTCCTTCAGAAGCAGGAGTGAACCTTCTGCTTGCAACCCAAGGAGGCTGACGTGTGTGTCTCTCTTTCCTTTTATCCCCCAGACAATTGAATTTGATGAAAGTGCAGGTGCTGTTTTGAGAATCCAGCCCCTCCGGACTCCCCGGGATGAGAACATTTACGAGTGTGTCGCTCAAAACCCTCATGGGGAGGTCACCGTCCATGCCAAACTCACCGTCCTCCGAGGTAAAGAGCGTGCCTGCCTGCCATGTGCCAGTGTCACAGGGGAGAAGAAACCCTTCAGCCTCTCCCTTCCTTCAGATGAGTGGGAAGGCTGTTAAAAAAAATGCATGGCCGAGGCACTAAGTCCTTTTTTTGGTTTGTTCTGACCTGTCAGATCCGTTTGCTATTATTACCTCAGAGAGTCATAAAATTGCTACGTAAGAAGCGAAGCTAAAACTGGACCACTTTAGGAGGTTTGACTGGATGATGTGCTGAGCTTCTTCCAACCTGAATTATCTTATGACTGTGACTCTCCCTCCCCTCCAATAGAAATCCTTTCCCCACGTTTATGAGCAATACCAGAACCTCCCCGTCATCCTCCTCAGGAATGTGGCAGTGTTCATGCAGACAGGCAGAAAAACCCTCATCGTGAAGGAATCTGAGGTTGAGATGATTATGGATCTGCATGGACTTTCACGCAGTTGGTAGCAATGCCAGCCTCTTCCCTTGTGCAAAATACCTGTATTTCCCTTGTGAGCATGTTCTCTTTCCAGAGATCCTTTGCTCTGTGCACTCTGTGAGAAAACAGTTCCCCTCTCCATTTTGTTCTGGTTCTTGTTTTCGCTTGTCCCCACTATAGAGGATGTTTACGTGGATGCCTCCTTCATGTCATCTGTTTGAAATGTGCTCCCTGAACTTGATGTGGGAGAGGGGACAATATGCTATTGCTGTGGATGCCTCTGGTTGTTTACCGTTATTACCCCGGAGGTCTGTAAAACCACTGTGTGAAACACTAAGCTAGGCTGCTTGCTAAAATTGACCCATTTTAGGGAAAAAGCTGTGTGGCGTTCTCTGCTCAAAGCACAGGGTAATGCAAGTGATCCTGGCAGAGAGGGTGTGATGGATAACTGCCTGAGAGCTGCCGAGGGGAGTTTACCTTGGGAGCGCTGGCTATCGACGAAGCCATCAGCGGGAGGTGCTCTAGAAAAGCCGTGGGCTTTTGCATAGGGCTACTTGCAGCGCGAGCCATTATTTCTGCAGTGAGCATGACTAACAACGGTTTTAGATGCTCCAGGCGGTGTGTGATCCTCATAAGGCCGAGGGGTAGCTCTGCCTCTATGCCAGTTGCTTTTTCTTCAGCAATTGCAGCGCTCTCTCCAAGAGCATCTTAAATCCTTTTGTTTGAACAGACAGCGAGCCCATCTTTAACAGTGCAGAGCGAAATTTGTGTGCAAATCCCCAAGGCGCGGCAGTAAATAAAGACCAGACAGAAAGGGCGCATGGCAAAGCTCTTGACCTCCCTTGTAGCAGGGAATATCCCTTCTGCTGCCCACCTGGCAGGCTCTGTGTCGTCGAGATGCCGGATGCGTGCGCGCCCGTGGTCCAGTCATGCCTGACAGGTTTGTGTAGGTGCTCTGCAATCTTCGTGCAGCTCCTTTGCCTGGCGTGGCATTTAACCTTCTGTTAGCGGCGCGTGGTGGGATGTATCTGCCAGGAGATTGGAACAGCTCCGGTTTTCCCAGAGGCCTGGGAGCCTACTTCTTCACACTTATTCCCGTGTATTCCCTGGGAGCTGTGACAGTTTGGGAGCTGTGCCCCTGCAATCGCATTCAAAGTTTCTACCCCTTGAATTTAGCTACGAGCAGTGGCAAGAGAGAAGGTTGTCACCCAGCTGCTGCCCTGATGAATCCCCTGGATTCTCACAGCGTTTTTAAGGCGGTTTCCACCAAAAGGAAGCTGAAATGGATGGGGAGTGACAAGCTGAGCTTGTCCTTAGAGACCAAGGTGCTTTGTCCGTGTCTTTTTGCAGCTCTTCCTCCCGGTATCAGCACCGTACACATCAGCTAGAGGGACGGATGACAGAAGAGGAGCTCCGTCTCCCCACCGCCTGACTAATTATGCACTTTGCTGATCCCGCCGGAACATCATTGCTGTGTGCTCTGGCCCCGTGGTGTGCTGCTTTCACCAGCACTCCTATTCTGTTTGCCTAATAGGCCCTTGTTCGGTAGCTTTGTGAGCTGACTGTGCAAGAGCAGCCCGGGTACCCAGTTCATGAAATCGGGGGGAGCAGTAATTAGCTGCAGGCCTGGGCCGAGACAGAGCTGAAGAGCATCAAGGCAGCAGTTTTCATAGCATGCCCTCCCCTTCCCTGCTCAGCTGGAGTTACTCCATCCTTAATCTTCCCTTAGCTTTTACCCAGCAAAGATTCTCTTCTTTATCTGCGTTTTTAAGTGCTGGGAAAGTTAAAAGGGACCAAGCACAAATCCACTAATCTCCACGTTGACAAAGTTAGCGTGCTGGCATCTATTCTTCTCTTTTTCCTCCCCGCTTCTGCGTTCACCCACTCTTCTGTTTGTCTTTTCTCTCTCTTTCCTCTCAAGGCCACCTCCTCCTTTCTGTCTCTCTTCTCTCACTTTCAGAGCTAATGCTTAGCGAAAAGATGGGAGCTGCTCCACAGCTTGGAGCTGAAAGTGAGCTGTGATTTGCAGAAGCTGTTACCTTGGCGTACTGGAAACCTGGGCCCCAGCTGTCAGCAGCTCTGCGGGACGGGCTCGGTGGTGATTCTGCAGTTGGTTGGCTGCGCTGCTGTACCCACAGCGAGGCGTGCATGGGTGCACCTCCATGCTGGGAACAGTTACGGGATCTTTGCAACACCCGTGCAGTCTCATGACCAGGAGAGAAAAAACCACATTCTTCCCTATGAGATGCAGCTGCTGGAGGGATTGAGAGTAAACGCCTTTTTGCTTATGCACACGACTACTCCTGGATCAGACCCTGATAGAAATCCATGTATTCACTTAATAACAGGAGGCTGCAGGAGAGGAAATCTTTGGGAGGTTCTGAGAAGCAAAGTGTGCGATGGACACTGCTCAACTTAGACAAAGTCTCTTAACACCAGTTCTGCTGGCTTGTTCGTCCTTCCTGCTCTGCTTCTCAAGGGATCTGAGTTTTGAGAGGGCTGTGGAGACCTGCTGTTCTTTCCACAGCTGGCTAGACGTAGTGCCTGCAAACCTGATTGCTGCAGAGCATGAAGAAAAGGAAAGGAAGTGTATTTGGGGAAGCATTTCCTGGTTATTGTTAACTCCAGCTGCTGTCATTTTTCGTTACAACTTAGGCAGAAAGCTACAGACATCCCAGCTCCCTGTTGATGTAGTTTCTCTAAGCTCCACACTCCCAGAAAGTTACACTTATTTTTTGTTATTATTATTATTATTATTATTATTGCTTCCTGTATACAGATTGTATCTCCCCTCCACTTCTTCGGTAGCCTGAGATTCTCGGGCTGCGAAGGATTGTCCGGTGCTGACAGCAGCTGAGTGGGCTGCAAGCACAGGGGGGCTGTGCTGCAGCGTTCTGCCTGTGTTCCCTCCACGGCTGGGACACACAAGCTGGAATTCAAGCAGCAACCAAGCTGGTTTAGTTCTTTGCTCTGTCAGAGCTGATTGAGAGAGTTCCATGGAGGTTACCCTTTGTGAGTCATTAGTAAATGCAGCATGATTCCATAAAAACCTGAGCTTGGTCCGGTTAAATGTAATGGAACAAAATTTACTGTGCCCTGGTATAGTGCTCACTGCCCACTGGCCAATGCTGTCTCTTCCTGATGATTACTGCACTCTGGAAAATTGAGGAAAACTGGCTATTAGGCACGTAAGGTCTGTGGTACTTACTACTGGCGTATGGTTCAGGCTGCTCTGGACAGGCTTTCAGGACTTCTTTTGCTAGTGATTCCCTGTTGATGGCTTTTTATGGAGTGTTCTTACATTTCTCTAACAGTTTGACCTGAAATTTTTCGAGCACATCTCCTATTCCGAGAGGACAATCTGGTGTGGGCATGTATAAAGTTCTAGCAAGATCCCTGCTGTGTTGTTGCTTTTTATAATTGTTGGCTTTAGATCAGCAAAAGGTAAACAAAAATCAGTTCTAGGTGCTCAGCAGAAAGCATCGAGTCCCGCAGGAGCACATCTTCGAGAAAAGCTGGCCCCTCTGAAATATTACCTTGCCACTTGAAAAGTTCTTGTCAGTCTTCCTTCAAACTTGACCTGTTTTGCTTTCCTTGTAGTGACCTGAAAATCAGACAGTGTTGAAAGCAGATTAGTTCTGTCGCTTGGGAATAATGTCAGAGCAATTTTAAGTCAGGTGCCTCTATAAGGAGGGCACACAGGGATACGTTAGTGTAGAGAAGACAGCGTGTTACCTGCCCTGTTACAGAGTCCAGCACTTATCTAAGGGTGTGTGTATTGTCTGTAAGCCTAAGTTTTAAAAGTGCTGATAGGCTATTACTATTTTCAGAGTAAAATGTTCATATCAAAGTAAATGTTACCAACAGACAGAGCAGGTTGCTGAGACTCCTTCATATATTAAAATTGTCTTTGGCTGAGTTGACTCAGGTACGTACTCATTGGTGGAAATTACTAGTTGGTGTAAATTCACAAGGTGTGCGGTGCCAGGATGCCTGCTGGGGAGGGGGCAGCTGTGAGTGTTCCTAAACTTCGTGAAAAGAACCAGGATGACTTTCAGAAGTGCTGGATTTTGATCTTGATTCTGCTTAAAACTGGTGTCACTCAAGCTCTTCCGTCTCTGTGTTCTTGTCTCTTCCGCGCTGGAATGAGGACAGTTGACTGCTTAGAGACCCACCAGCATCCACAAGCTGGGCCACATGTCTCCAAAGAAGAGCGAAAAATTACTCCCCTTCTTTACTTCAGCAGCATCCTCGTGGTGCCTTTCTGCATTCAATATGTAGCGCCCGTACTTGCTCACACCCTCCTCCTCCTCTAAATTATTAAACAACCGTGCACACCCTGTGGGAGAAAGAGCAGCAGCAACACCCGCTTTATCTTTCGTTATCATCCTCATTCTCAGCACAGCTAATTACCTAAACACAGAGCTGCCACCCTCGAGCGACAAGGAGACGGCGAGCGCCGGCCTCTCCCTTCGCCGTAGCCGGTGACCCTTTGCTTTTTCTGCGTGACCGCCTGCGTGTCAGCGCATGCGCCCAGCTTGGTTGGAGGCATGTCCCCCAGCACAGAGCGTGTCCTCTGGTCGGATTTATTATAGATGAACGCTGAAGTGCTCTTCTCTCCCTGCCTCCCTCCATCCCTCCTCCCTCGTTCTTTCTCACTCTACTTTGTTCAGTGGCCTTGAGGTAATTTGCCGGCTCATCGTTCCGGGAGGCCTTTAAACAACCCAGGCTCAGAGCAGGTATTTGGGATGCTCTGTCGATACAGCAAGTGGGACACGTGAAAACGTTTGCCTGTGTGAGCCCGCGTGGTTTTCAGCAGCAGGCAGCTGCCCAGATGTGTCCTTGAAGCATCTTCAGCTTGCATCTTGCTTCCTTTGTTCTCGCAGTTGCCTGGGCTGCTTTTAGAAAGAGCATTCGCCATCCAGACCCTTCCTTATTTATTTATTTGGTAACGGGTTTGGGGATTGATGGGGAGGGTGGCAGAGCATGTGTGTGCATGTCTTGTGGGGATTGAGTTGAGGTTGTAATTGCATTATTACAGGGAATCCAATTGTTAGAGGATGAAGGCAGCTTCACTCTCCTGGCAGGAGGGAAATCTGAGCACTTGAATCAGTGCAATACGCGATGTTCGGAGATGCTTCCTCCGCTGATCTGATCCTCAAATCTGATCACGCCTCTAGTCGCAGTTGCTTTAATTAAACTCAGAGGAATTCTGCACGTTGTGCTGCAAGATTAACATTTTTGTTTAATTAGAAACACTCCATAATAATAGTTGTACCAGGCCTCCCCAACACACACACACACGCACACATGTGCACGCACACGGGCTCCCACACACCCCCCCTGCCAGTCAGGAGGGTTATTCTCTCTGTGGATTAATTGGTTCATGAAATTAAGGGACCGTGGGTTTGAGCCAGGTGGAGTAGCATCACCAGGGAGCAGGATAAAAGCAGTAATCAATAATGATGTCATCTGCAGCCAATGCGGCAGCAGCTCCGCAGCTCCTTAACAACACACCACCGCCTGGTTAAATAGCAGAAGGGAAGGGAGGACGTTAAAAGCCCGGCTGAAAGCCGTGCAAAGGCAAAACAATTCCCAGGGCCCCTCAGCCCTGAGCTCACTCTTGGAAGGTTTTGCGGCGCACACGATCCGCCACAGCACACAGAGGCTCCTACAACGCCCAGGCACAGCCTGGAGAACTGACAGCTCCAAGGTTTGGTTCAGTCCCTGGTTAAAGATGTTCATGCTTCTAATTTAGAATGCACCACCCTGGTTTAGAGGTGCTTCACGTGCAGCACAATGACTGCGCCTTTATACAACCGTAAGTACTGGGAGATGTGTGTTCAGCAGTTACAAAATGGTACGTGGTTTTGTTTGTGGTTGGATCCCTTTGATGGATGAGGAGAGGTGTGGTTAATACATTTCACTCTCGAGTGAGTCATAATGGATCCTTTATAACTCTCCAACAATGGTCAGAGGAAAGAAACAATGCACATTTTTAAACACACAATTGAGGCATTTAAACTCTTTTCTTGCCTGCAGTAGCTGCGCGCTGCTAATAACAGTATTAGTCAAGAGTCTCTTGGCCTTGGGTATCAGAGCACCACACAACCCCCAAGCTCTGTCTTCGTGATTTCATAGATTTTTAGAAGCCGAGCGTGAGGCACAGCGATGTGGAACGGCTCTTAAATGGCGTGCGCTTGGAGCTCTCATACATCAGTACTGGGGTCCTATGGTTCTGCTCCTGCAGGAAAGGCCATAGCAAGGCCACTGGGTTTCTCTCTTGTTCTGCCACCCCTGGGTTCAGCTGTAGGTAGTTTGGCTCCGTTCCTTCTGGTGGGTGACGTACCAGCTGTAGGCAATGAGCACTTGTTGCCTTTGCAGTTGGCAGGGATGTTTCTCAACGAAGGTAAGGGTTCCCAGCCCATCTCCGCAGCCCCTGGGAGAGCTCCCATCGGTTTCAGTAGGGGGCTGATTGTGAGGTGTGTCACTTTTTTAAAAACCCCACCTTTTTTTAATTCTCTGTGTTATTTCCCTTCTGTTCCCTCACCTGTTTTTGAGATGGATTCAATACCATAGATTCCTGAGGCTGTGATTCCTCACCATGCCTCATTTGATGAAGAATCCCCATAAAATCTCACCTCGGCGCTGGCATCCTCCTTCTGTGCTGCCCTGCGCCAAAGACGGGTGTTTTGGGGAGAAAAAATATAACGTGTTTGTGAGCTTTATCAGGCAGCATAAGGCAGCTCTTTCCCATGTGAGTTAGGAGGTGGTGACCAGGATTGTGGGGGAAGCACTGGGTTTTGTACTGGTTATCACAAATAGTCGGCATTGCTTTGGATTGCCGTCCTCACCCTCATTAGAGGAGGCAAAGACAGGGTTGAGAGGAAGCAGGTTGAGCCCATCTGCTCAGTGCTGGTGCCACATCCCTCTTCTAGGGCAGCGGCACTCTGAATTAATAACTCTAAAAATCACATTTGCTCTAAAAAGCACATGGCTTATCATTGGTATGGGTGTTCCCTCTGGTGAGTACAGCTGGGTGGTGGTTTCCTCTCTTTTATATCCTAGTTTCCACTGTGGCTTTGACAGGCTTCTTCACTTAGTTTGATTATTTCTCTTGTAGAGTTTGTTTCGTACTGTTGGATTTGAAGGGGAAAGATGAGCCCCTCCTCGTCAGTGGGACTGTCCTCTGCAGTGCAGGCGTCTCCGCCCTCTGTGGGCACAGCTTCTGCTGGAAAAACAAATAAGTGCGAGTCACTGACAGAGTGATTCCGTGCAAGACCTGGAGAATCTTGGAAATTACCATTCCCATGTCCCAAAAGGTTCTGATAGATTGTGTTTAAATTTAGAATCTTCTTGCAGGACGTCAGAACAGTCACACAAAATGGACAGGCTGGTCGATTTTACTGTATAATGTGTTTTCACGAGCCATCCATGGACCGTTTACTGTAGCCTTGTTTTAAATTGCAGAATCATAGAATGTTGGGGGTTGGAAGGGACCTCAAAAGATCATCCAGTCCAACTCCCCTGCCAAAGCAGGATCACCCAGATTAGGTCCCACAGGAATGTGTCCAGGTGGATTTGAAAGTCTCCAGAGCAGGAGACTCCACACCCTCTCTGGGCAGCCTGGGCCAGGCTCTGCCACCCTCACAAGGAAGAAGTTTTTCCAAATATTTTGTGGCACCTCCTGTGCTCCAGCTTGCACCCGTTGCCCCTTGTCCTATCATCAGACATTGCTGAGAAGAGCCTGACTCCATCCTCACTCTTTACATATTTGCAAACACCCCCCCTTTCCGTATTTATAAACATTTATGAGGTCACCCCTCAGGCTCCTCTTCTCCAAGCTGAGCAGCCCCAGCTCCTTCAGCCTTTCCCCGTAAGGGAGATGTTCTGCTCCATCGTCCTGGCGGCTCTGCGCGCGGCACTGGGCTGCAGACCTGACTGGTGGTTTTTTCAGTGTGTTCCATTGAACTGTTCCAGAGCTGCGCCGCTCCCCAGGACGTGTTTAACCACTCTCCCTCCTCTCTCTACCACCAGAGGACCAGTTACCTCCCGGCTTCCCCAACATTGATATGGGGCCCCAGCTGAAGGTGGTGGAGCGGACCCGAACAGCCACAATGCTCTGTGCGGCCAGCGGGAACCCAGACCCGGAGATCACTTGGTTCAAAGATTTCCTGCCTGTCGACCCCAGCGCGAGCAACGGGCGGATCAAACAGCTGAGGTCAGGTAAGGTCTCTGTGTGAGATTGGAGGAACTGAGACCTAGATAGAGGCGGGAAGAGACCACTCAGAAGTTTCCGAAGCAGAAGAGAGGGCGTGGGCACCACTGGTGTGGATTGGGACATGGACTTTCTTTGTTTTGGGGACTCATGTTCTTGCCTGAGGAGTGGTTGGAGTATTTTGCCCTCCAGACCACCCTTGATGCCCTCCCTGCTGCCCAGTTGGCAAAAAGGGAATCGCAGCTGGGAAGCTGGTTCCCATCCAGGAGATGCAGGAGTTAGTTCACTGGATAATGATGCTCTTCTGGCTCAGGGGGAGCTGAGAACTGGATGGGAGCTGAGAACTGGATGGGAGCTGAGGGTTTCTTCCTCAGACCAAGAGCTGGGTAAGGAAGAAGGAAAAGCACTGCAGCAGACATGGTGTTTTAGGCCACATGCATCTGCTATAGAGTCCACAGCTCAGGCAGCCTCTGACTGTCAAAACATGATCCTGTTGGTGTAAACTGAGCTTTTCAAAGCTGGCGCTGAAGAACAGGTCTTGCAGGACCTCTCCAGCATCGAGTCCCTGCAGTCATCGCCGGAGAGCAGTTGTGAGCGTTCTGGAGTGAGCCCGTGGTGCCCAGAGGCACTGCCCGTGGCGTGGGTCTCCACGAACAGATGTACCCCAGCTCCGTGGCTCTTGTCAGTTTTCTGTCTTTCCCCATCTGCTTGTCCATCTGTCTCTTTTGTTCGTTTAGTGTTCGTTGTTTTGTGTATGTGTGTGTGTCAGTGTTGCATCTCCTAATATTCATGGTTCAGGAACTGTTTTTATACTTGCCAGGTCTGCCAGTTCTGTGTGTGCGAGTGTGTGCACGTGAGGAGGGCACAGGTGTATTTATTTTTGAATACCAATGACAAGCACTTCCAGTTCTTAACTTAAAATACCCCCTAATTTCTCTCTGGTTGCTGCAAAACAAGCTTTAGAGGTTTCACTTTTGACAAAATCTAACCCGAGACATCCTTTTCAAATACTGCTTGGACTGACTGCTTTGTCCCAGCCCAAGAAAACACGTCAGTGTGGTCGGACCCAGCGAGCACTCGCGTCACTTCAGCTGCTCACAACATTCCTTCGGCCAAGCGAGATGGAGCGTTTTCAAGAGTCTTTTTTTTGGCATTGTTGCAGGCAAAGGGAAAGCAGAGGCTTCAGCCAAGCAGCTGGGGTTGTTCTGTTCGTATCGGGCGTTTTAGGGGTCGTTTAGTGGGAGCCAAATACTTCTGCCCACACCTACAGGCTCTGAAGAAATCAGTTTTTGACTGATGTCAGAGAGCGTAACCACCTGGTTTTTCTCTTGCCCTGTTTGGCAGAGGTTCTGTGTGCAGATCCTTGGTTCTTTGGGCCACCGGTTGAAAAGGTTCAGCGCAGTTCCAGTTCAGCGCAGCTTTTACACACCTGCATAAACGCATCCTTATTCAATGAGGCAAACTTACAAGCAGACACTTACACTGCTTTGTTGAATTAGAATGGATTGTTGAATCCCAGAAACGCAGATGAGATTGACCTCCCTGTTTCATCATAACAGCTGAGGCAAATGCAAATTAAAAAAAAAAAATCACTCAGCATAAATAATGAGAGGTAAACTAGAATTATAGCGTGCTCTGTGGCCATGATCTGAAGTGTGAATAATGCTCAGGCAGATTATTTTTAATACATTTATCATCTTGCTAGAATGCCTTTAAACTCTTTAACTGGGTTTGATCTGGTGTTCTCCTTAAAGCCACCTGAGTGCAACATTTTTATTCCAGTGAATTGGTTAGCCTCAGAGCGAACTCTTGGCCTTTCTGATAAATCAGAAGCTACCTGCTGAGAATTAATCTCATGTACAGCTGCTTTGAATTAGTCAACTGGTGAGACCCTGAAGCGTCCCTGTTGTCCTTAGGGGCAGAAACCTGTTGCCTGTGTGAAAGGGAGAGCAAATTCCTGGACAGTCAGGACTTCTGTTTCATCTGCTTCTGTGGTCTTTTCAAAACTTGCCTGTTCTGGGATGTAACAGCCTGTGAAGGTGCAAATCCTATTAATGTCAGGGTCATCCGGACTCTGTTAGTATTTTGGTCGGTGGAAGGGAGTCGTGTTAAGCCCAAGGCAGAGCAGATTCACGTGTGGGTTTGTAACCTGGGTGCGACGGGCGAGGTGATGCCTGTTTCAGCGCTGATGATGCGAGTGCTGCTAAAGTCAGAACTTAATTTAATAATTTATCTTTCAAGAAAACAAACTTTGCTGCGGGAAGCGTGGCGCTCGCGCACATGAGGGCATTGGGTGCCTCAGGACGCTGCGAATGAGCTTCGGTGGCTTTCACCCACAGGTCACCAGTGTGACTCCAGCCTGGCTTCCTGGGGATGGACAATGACACCCAGCTAACGGGGGTTTGACGAGGCCTCTGTGAATAAAGAGTGCAGGGAGGAGGAGTGACCCCGGTACTAAATCACAGCTTCATCGCTGCGCTTTGTGCTGGTGGGTTGAGCGCAGGAGGCAGCGACCGCGGCGTCTCTCCCCAGCGGAGACCAGGGAGCAGCAGGACAGGAGAGGACGGGACAGGGCAATCCCCCAGGTCCTGCCCCAGAGATGAAGTCGTCAGGATGGCAGCCCTGCTGCTCTGTTACAAAGGGCGTTAAGAACTGAATTTATATCGTCAGTTAGTGGCAAACATGCAAATCAGCTCATTAAAAGGTACCAGCGAAATGTCGTACGCGGAGCTCTGCAAAATTGGGCAGCCGTGTCCAGATTTTGTTCTCGTTTATATTTAAAGCTGAGTGTTTTACCGGCGAAATAAATGGACCTCTGAGACCGTGGTCATTATATTCACATCATCCCAGGGACCCGTTTGTGTTACGGGTCCTCAGTAGAACTGAGGAAGAGGCGAGATGTCAGTAACCATAGTGACTTTTCTCCATCCAGCATTTCTCCTCCTTTCCGCCTCCAGATAAACTTTCTAGGCAGTTGGAAATCTTGCAGTGCTTGGGAGGTTTGACTGAATGAAAAGCTGAATTGGCAGCCACAGGGGCAAGGAAGGAACCTGTATCTGGGCTCCTGCTTCCCTTAGACACAGTCTCAGCCTCAGAGACCCAGGTTGGGTAAGAGTTTCAGTGGTCTTAGTGGTGGTAGTTCTGTTTATCCCCAAAGCAAGCACTCTCAGGACATTTGAGGCAGGAGCCAATGTCCTTTGCTCAGCCGTGCCACCTAGGGGGGATCGCGGGAGGCAGCCTGCAGCCACCTCCTTACCTCCTGGCATCACTGCAGCCTTTTGTGTCTTGTGTGTGTCTTCTGTTTTCTAAATGACTGGCTATAACAAACTTATTTTTCTTCTTCTTTTTTGTTTTTTGTTTCCCTCACTTTTTTTTTAACACTCAGAGACCTTTGGTAAGTTTGTTCAATTAAAAAAAAACCAACAAAAAAAATCCAACCAAAGAACCCCAAACCTGCTAATGTCCAGATTTGTAACCCTTGCCCTCTAAACTAATACCTTTGTAACAGCTTCTTGAGAGGCATGCTGTGCATTTCTTCTACTAACTCTTTCAGTAGGGTTATTCTGCCCTCTTAATGAATTTCTGCAGGGGTATTGCAGGCTACGAAAAGAACAATAATCATCCTAATTAATGTATTTGTATAAAGAGATAACAGCTAAATATGAACCTCCTAACATTGAATAGAATTTTTTTTTTTTGTATCTTAGCAACAGTTGTCCTGGAATTCCCCAATTACACAATAGCTTGTACCCTGGAACTGTGATAATTGTGTTCACACCTGCAGGAGGTCTTGGAGTTTCACATCTAACAGGGTTATTGGCATTTTCAGAGGGGAGAGCTGGGGGTGCGGCATTTTCAAATCGAAGCTGTAAATCACAAGTCATTTGCTGCGGGGAAGGGTTGAGCAAAGGCAAAGCCCCCCCACCACCACTTCTAGATTGTCTGTGTCCCTCGAGAAGCCAGGAGCCTGCCTGCAGAGCTCACGTCACGTTTCCTCCGTGTGCCAAGTCCCCTTTTGTTATCGGAGATGTAGCAATTGCAGCTGTCAGCCAGGATCCGGCATTTTAAAATTGCAGAAGACCCTTGATGATTGCTTGCTTGTTTAGAAGAGAAAGCTCTCTGCAGCCCTTGGGAGAGGAGCACAGCACACACATGTTCTCACACGTGGCCTGACAGAAGGTGGGGATGTGTTTTCTGTCATTGCCATGGCAATGGTGACTGTCCTCCTTCTCCCTGTTTTCCAGGCTCGGAGAATCCGTAGGCAGCCCGGTGCGTGGGAAGTCAGAGGAAGGGATGGTGGAAGAGCAGATCCCATCCTCTGTGACAGAGGGGGACACCTGCACGTGGTATTTTGCCTGGCACCGTCTTGGTCCTTTAAAACCCAGAGACAAGTCTTTCAAGCTGCCTTTTGCCTCTGCTGCTAAACACTGGCCATCTGGGCTCAGGCAGCCTCAAAATTTGCCCTAAATAGGCAGATCTCCAGATCCTGGGGAAGGCAATATGAATAGTTTGCACGTGGCATCTCAAAACCAGCTTTTCACTCACAAAGTCAGCGTTTAGTGTGAGTTCTTCCTCCCTTAGCTTTCCTGCCGAGCTGATGCCCTCGTTCTGCCCCAGACAGTGACAGCCTGGTGCTGTCGGGACGCCGGGCACGCCAGCTACCGAGCGCAGGTGCCTCCTCTCCCCGACCAGGACCCCCCATCAAACCTTAAGGACCTGTCAGCATTCTTCAGAATTATTAATCTATTTCAGGTCATCTTCCAGCACCATCCTGCCGCCCCCGTATTGAGTATGAAGCTGGTTAGATGTGAAACTCCAGTCGTGAAAATCTACCATCTGTGTCCCTGCCTCCGTTCAAACTGCTGGGCTTTCCTTGCAAGTCCCTCATTTGGATTCAAATTCCATCCCCTCCAGCCCTGGTGTGGGGCGTCTCGCAAAACGTGTTTGGCTCCTCACTTGTCCCATGGGCCGGAGTTAGAACTGGGAAGACCGAGGTGCCGCCCCTTGGCTTGTCTTGCTCTCCAAGAGCTCTGTCTCCAAGACAGCCTGAGAGCTGCTGACAACCTGTTTCCAGGGGCAGCGCTGATGCTTAGAGGGATCAGGGAATAGCCAACCTGCAACGACACAAGAAGGTAGTAGCAGCTGTTGTATCTGCGCTTACAAAGCTCTAACTTCCAGCGTGTTTTTCCTGTCAATTAGAGTGAACTCTCGCAGGAAATTGCCAGGCTTAGTCAAGCCAAGGAAGCTTCACAGCGGTGGGTTGTGGTGGGGTCTCTTCCCCTCCTCTACCGTCTTCCCATTAGCCTTGTTCCAGATTTGTGCCACAGATGGCAGATTTTCACTCCAGTTTTGAGACAGAAGGATGTATCAGAGGCTGTTTTTGTTCCCACTGAACTGAACTATAACCCTTTGCTGCTTAGTCTCTCTCTCTCGCTCGCTTTTTAAAACCTTCCTGCCATCTCCCGTGTGGAGATCTGCCCAAGTACACGCTCCCCCCACCTCTTTCTCTTCCAAGCGCTGTCTCCAGCCTTTGTCCTGATAGCTAACCAGCCTGCTTTATTAACCTTAGCTAGTTCCTAACCCTAACTAGATGCTAACTTTTCTCTAGCAGATAACCTAACCTCTTAACTAGAAGCTGAGTATAACTAGAATCTAATATCCTAACACTGTAATACCTCTCTTCCCTCATCTCCTTTGAAAACCAAAAAAAAGGTGAACTGTAATCAGTATCTATATATTTTTACCTTTTATCCTGAAAATGGAGGATTGAACCGCAGCACAAGAAGGATGAGCTGGGCTGAAGGATAAGGAGGGAAGGGGTTTTCTGGTGGTTGAGGCAGAAGATTGGCGTGCAGGAGGCTTTGCCTCCTGTTCCTGCCTCTGCCACAGGCTTCCCTCTGTGACCTTGGGCAAGTTGCTTCACCTCTGCCTAAGTTTCCCCACCTGTAATGCTGTTGCACCTTGCTGGGGGAGAGGAGAGAGTGTAAGGCTGATATTTGTCGTGTACTGTGCTATACAATCCCTGCCTGGGAGGCACAGAGAAGCTCTTGCGTTTCTACGAAGCAAGAGGCAATACTTGGAATTGCGGAATCTGCCCTGTTCTCAGGATTGGGGTAAAAACCAACCAACTAAACCCCCTTCTTTGCTAAGCTGTGTGAATGCCACTGTGAGCAAAAGGACCTGCCATGTTTTCAAAGGAAGATGGTTGCAACCTCAGAAGGTCAAACGGGGGGACGGTGATTGTACTGCTGACCGTGGCACGGTTCACCGGCCACGATGTCGCTGCCTCTCACCTATGAGCCCTGCACAGGCGGGAGACTTTGGTTAGGCACTCCGAGACAGCTGGAGGGGGCTTGAGTAAAAATAACCCAAGGGAGAAGCAGTCAACAGGCAAATGCCGCAGGACTCTTCTCTCTGCATACAACCCCCTCCTGCGCTGGCATTAGGGAGGCTTCCAGAGCAGCTGCCTGAGGGAACCGCTTCCCTGGGACAGCAGCGTGGCCACCTCTCGCGCAGAGTGGCTTCGGAGCCCCTGAAAGAGTCCTGATAAGGACTTCCCTTGAATTCCTCGCGCACCTGTGCCAATAACTAAAGTTTAGAACTGGAAATTTGCTAGCAGAGGTGGGATCAAACTTGCAACTCCTAACGTGATGCAAGGTACCCAGATGTCCCTTCCCCTGCCTGGGCTAACACGACTGTGATGCCACCTCTTTTCCCCAGCAGTGAAGAAGAGAAATGCAGGTTGGTCATCTGCAAGTAGCAAACGGTAGTGTTAGCTGAGAGCTTGGAGATGTTCTTTGCAACAAAACAGAGCCAGTCTTTAGACTTTCCAAGCCCAGTGCCCAGGGGGCTCTGTGAACAGGCAGCTGAATTGGACTGCTTTAAAAAGGGCATCCCCACCTGCAGTATCCCCAGCCCTCTTCAGCCTGTCCCTGTAATTTAAGATGAGGTAGAGCAGGAAGTTTCCTACTGGGAACTGTCTTCCTTGACTCAGGTCCTTTTCCCACAGGCAGTCCAGGTGTTTGGGGTTTTACAGTCTTTTCACTTCTTTTCTTTGTTTTCTTTGCAGAAGGTACACCGATCCGAGGTAAGACACCCCCAGCTCACTCACTCACCCACTCTCCAAACACTTCTCTCCACTCAGTTCCTGTTTCATTGACCTGTGCTCAATACAGATTCTCGTTGTTGTTGTTGTTATGGTGTTTTCTTGTCCTGCTTCACCTCTGGATATTTCTTTTTTTATACCTGTCTTTATTTTATATATGGTTATAATGTCCTCTTTTGTTTGCTGGGTGCACTTGGTAATACCGATACTGTTATTCTACTGACGTCTCAGGCTGTGCTGCCTCAGATTTATGGCAGAGTTTTAAGAGCTAATCTCTCCAGGACTTCGAAGGACTGAAGTTTATCTTGAGCATTAAATGCTATCAAAGCTCAGTAAATACTTAGGACCTTCTCTTGATTGGTGCAATGTGCTCATGAGCTGCCGGTGGTGGTGAAAGTTTTCGAGTCCTTTGCTCGGTCAGATCTTCAGCACTTACCATCTCAGTGTCCTCATTTGTTTGGCTTTAGAGCCTCCTTCTTTCCCCTTCCTCCCCACTCTCCTAACCCTTAGGTTTCTCTGGGAGAGATACTCATGGTAAGTAGCTTCTGCACTGTCTTTAATGGAGCCTAAAAGGTACCAGACCCCAGGCTGCCAGTGAGAGTCAGCAGGATTTGGGTGTGCACCCCTTGGAAGACCCTGTTTTGTTTTATCTACAAAAATTTAAATGCAAAATTTAAATTTATGGCAAATTTAAAAGGCCATAATTCTCCCCTGGTAAAAGCAACAGGAGGTGCTGTAGGTGAGATTTACTTTTTCACACGTCATCTCCGTTGGCTCCTGACAAGTGCTGAGAACTCACTGACCTCTCTACGGTATAATTTTCACCAATGCATTCATCAGCAAAGCTGCAGCGGTCAGGAGGAAAGGGGTCAGGGTGAAAAGGGACCCACTCCCCTGGGTCTGTTCCTGCTCCGCAGTGTGGCTTCGTCCCCCCTTGGGTGTGCTCAGGCGAGCAGTGCTCATTGAGCCGCACGAAGTGTCTGGAGCCAGTGGAAGCAACCCACGGGTGTGTCCGAATTAGCAGGAGTTTCTAGGAAAGCTTGCTGCCAGCTCTCCACCAAAGCAGAGCTTTCCCATGACAGAGCATGCTCGAGCTGTAACTCAGTATGAAATATGCTCAGCAGGTGCCTCAGTGTGAAGCCCCAGTATATTTGTTTTCTACCTCCCGTTATGCTGAAATACCCCCAGATTCTTTTGAAATTAATTTAATTTGGTTTAGTGGCTCGGGCAGGGTTGGTTTTTTTTTTTAACTATTATTTTTTAGTTCTATCTGTTCTGCCTTTGGGAGCTACCAGGCGCAGTGGATGCTGGCAGGAGTTGCGCTATCACACCCCATCCCTGTCAGAAATGCTCTCACAGCCTCCCGTCTTCCCACGCAGCATCCTTTCTCACCCATGCACACATGGAGGAACACGAGCTCCCTGTCCTCCTCGTGTGAACACATTGGTTTTTCCTTCCTGAAGAGGCTGTATCTGCAGCCAACAATGATATCATTTGCACTTTTCTCGCTTGAGATTTTATCAATAATATTATGCTGAGCCGAAATTTGTTTGGTTTTCGTATTTAGGGTTGGGTTTTTTTCCAGAGATGGGAGTTAAAAGAGTCTTACACATGTGAGCTCTGTCCATATCTGTAGTACAATCATGTACTCCTAATACATAAAACATTTGATAGCCTGTTGAATTATTTATGTAGTATGTATTTTAACTGGAGTTTTGCAGGGAGGAAGGCTTCTGAGGTAAATGAGGCAATTTTCTTCCGTGTAGTTACACGCTGCATATCTCTGCATGCTTGCTTACAGGCGTGTTTAGTATGGGCTGTGAGTATATCCGCATAGGCTGCAATCATGTCCAGGTTTAAGAAAAAACTTAATCCTTTTGGCCCGGTTGCTGTAAACCACACAGGCAATTTTGAAGTTCCAAGGCAGTGTTTACAGGGTTTTCCTCTGGGAATATTCACTATCAGTAAAGGTGCTTTTCACACTGACTCTTATCTCCTGTGGGCTTCCTCTGAATTGGGTATTTAGGCACAAAACAAAGGCAGCCTTGATAAAAATGCTCCGGGGATCCCAGGCAGTGGGTGACAAAGCCTTTCACTTTTACGGTCACCGCTTCAAATGAAGCGAGGGAAAGTCAACTGCCTCCTGATAGATTTCTGGGGATCACGGTGATACGGATTATTGAGGTGGATTTTGTGAGTTCTGGTGCAGGATGCCTGCATTGCAGAAGCCACAAAAGTTGGTGCTTTTGCTGATGGCTCCAGTACGGAGAGTGACGCTCCGTACAGAGCTGGGCACGGAATTTTCTCTGGCCTGGTGGGTGCTTGTCCAGCCGTAACGCTGAGCACAGACGGGCTGTTGGCAGGGAGTTGATGCCTCCACACCTAACAGCCCGAGACCCCCAGGTAGCGTCCCGGTGCGCTGAAGGGGAGGAAAAAAACCGAAGCATTGATGCTGTTGCTCTCTCTTAATACATGGTGGTGATGCTCGTGTCTTTGCTGCGGTCTTCTTCTCTCCTCGCAGGTGGCCTGCAGATCGAGAGCAGCGAGGAGACAGACCAGGGGAAGTACGAATGCGTCGCCAGCAACAGCGCCGGAGTGCGCTACTCCTCCCCTGCTAACCTTTACGTGAGAGGTAGGGAGCGCATCGGCTCGCAACGCTGGCAAATTCCTCCCTCCCCATGGCCTGCCTTTGTCCCCAGCTCTTTGGTTCGGCCCTGGCCCTGGGCGCAGGGGGAGCGCTGCTGTTGATCGGTGGGATCCTCGCAGTGCGGGGGGTTCCTGGAGCACCCTGGCTTCCTCGCTGGCGCCCCCGGGCTTCCTCGCCAGCGCTGGTGCCGGAGCCGCCGAGTAGCGACACGAGGCTGTGTCACCCGCAGCGAAGCCAAGCGTGACCCAAAATAGCGTGCCCGGCAATCTGCCGGCATCATCCTGCAGGGCCCGGAGGGGGATGAACAGCTTTGGCTGCAAAGAGGCCGTGATCCCCTCTTCTCCCGAAGGATCCCTGCTCTCTGGACGTGGGAAGGTTTCGGTTCGAGTGACGCGGGTGTGAGAGGAGGGGAGGACCCTCTCAGCCCCCTTCACTGAGCTCTCTGTCCCCTGGATCTCAGCAGATTGCAACAGGAGGGGGCATTCTCACTTCTCGCCTCAGTCCCAGCTGTTTTTCCCTTTGCCAGCCGTCATTTGTCACTGGTTCCTTGGGCACGAGCGCTGGCCGTGGGCACAGACTCACAGAAAGCCGGGGCCGGCCAGCAGACAGACTCCTTCACCCATCTAGCGTGGGGAACAGGTGACAGGGGGACTGGCTTTCTACTCGGTGCCCCCTCGATGTTCTCACACCCAGCGGGGCTGTCGCCCTCCTGCTTCCTTCATTATTTTATTTTATTCTCTCTGACCTATAATGTTTGTGTGTAGCTTTGCTTATAATATCTTTCCACAGCAAAAAGCCTTTTGGTAATGAGAGAGCAGGGCTGGTCCTTGTGGCTTTTTTTAGAAACAAACCAAAAAAAAAGAAAAATACCATTGGGAGGAAAAAAAGACAAGTTACATCCCAGCAAACTGTTCCCATTTCCATCCCATCGACAGAGGAAGCGCCTCCCACCTACACTCACGTTAACTCTGCAGTCCGATGCAGAGCCATGCTCTGTGTGCGCTCCTTTCTCTCTCTCTTTCTCTATCTCTCGTGTCTCACGCTCACTAAATCACATGCACATGGAGAGAAGGCTTTTAATAATTTAATGTTTCCAAGCTAAATTTTTAAATAGCCTTTTGTGGCCAGCTGGAAAATTGCGTTTTGAAATCTGCCCTGTCACCCGAAATTCTTCTTTTGCCAGCGTAAATCTGGATCCGACACTAAGGCAGGGCTGAATCCTTTGCAGACAGCTTAGCTGGAATGGTTTGAGTTCCTTTTTTTTAATTTATTTAAAAAAAGAAAAAAAGAAGAAGAAAGAAAACAGAAAAAAATGCGGGGATTTTTCATTGTTCTTTCGTTTATGAATTTCCTCTACCTCTCTGGCCACTCGGAAACTACCCAGGAGACAAAGGTGGAGTTGTTTGTCTCCTCCACCCCTGGATCAGAGGCGGCTCCGGGTGGATGGAGCCCTCTTTGTGTCCCCGTTAGCCTGTGTGTCCCCGAGGCTGCCCCAAAGCCAAAGCCAGCGTTAGCCGGCCGAGCGAGCGCAGAAAACGCCGTGTGAGCCAGCTCGGCCGCTGGTTTGGGTGGTTTTCCTGCTGTTTTAATTCCTTGTTTCTTGTGTGTTAATATCGTGGAAAGGTAACGAACTTCTGAACTGGATTTGCTTTGGTGGGAGGGAAGGTTCACGCACATTTTTCCTCCCGTTTTTTTTATTTGTTTGTTTTAAAAGAGTCTCCAACACTCCCGTGTTTCCAATTGACTTGTTTCTCCCGTAACATGCTTGTCTCTATAGAGCACCCGGGATAGGAGGTGTAAGTTTGAACACTGCAAGGAAAAATGTTTTGCTTTCGTTTCGCTTTTCTTTTCTCCTTCTAATTATTTCTTTTCTCTTTTTTTTCCCTTTTTTTTCCTTTTTTTT